GCCACTTCTAATTGCAAGAGAAAACACCAACATCAACCACAGATTTCATGGTGGGGGCTTGTAGAAGAGATCTCCTTAGACAGGAAAAACAATTCCACCATCACTTCTTACACCTCAACATACTTTTGATACCTTAAAACACCACCTGACTCTGCAGTCAGGCCCCGAAAAGGCACATTTTAAACCCAAAACATACACAGCCAGCAGCGAATTAGCCAAATTAGCTTTCAGTGATCTCGCAGGAGTCATGCTGAGGAGCTCCACGAGCCATATGCAAGGCGAGATGATGAGCCGACTCCAGGGCCCTCTGGAGAAGAATAAAGAGAGTCCACCATACGTGGCTGCTAAAGAGGGTGTCTGCTCCCAGAAAAGCAGCCATAGCCAATCCCCGGTGGATGAACACATCCAGAGAATCAGATTTCCCCCAGGGAAGGGGAAGGGGCTGCAGAGCAGGAGATGGCCCATCCTTGCCCCCCTCCCTGCAGCCAAGCAGCTCAGCCAGCCCTGGGAAGGGACGGCGGCTCCCAGGGATGGAATTAAAAAGAAAAATCTCTGCACATTAAGTGCTAAAATAGAACTATAAAAGAAAAGCTTTTGAACAAAACCCCAGCATTTATCTGTCCCTTCTGTTCACCTATTCCTTTCAAAGATAAACCCCAACGATAATGGCTCACAAAAATAATCTATTTACTGCAATAATGAAACGTCTGTCTATTTTCCCGTATGTCTCAGGGTTGCCCGTGAACGATCACTCTGGACAGTGCTTAAGGTTTACAAATATCTTAATTGGACCCTTAATTATCTCACAAAAAGCATTTTTTCATTATGCAAAGAGGCAGTACTGTGATTTTAATAAACATTTACAACTAAAATGAAGGTATCCTTTATGCATCATCAGAGGAGGAACAAAATGACCAGAGGACACATATTTCACGAGCAGATCAAGGCCACATGCCCTAATATATCATCAGCCTTGACGTTTAATTAATTCATTATTTAATAGATAGCTGATTAGCTCAACAGGGAACTCCTCTTATCATACTGCAGGGAGGACACACAGCCTCATAGACACTGGTTCTTCAGGAATTTCTCTGCCTGTCTCTGGCAGCACTTATGTAAAACCATCTATGGACATGGCTGGCCTTGGAGGTGGTGGAACAGGAGACCTCCAGACCACCAGTCCACTGAAGTTCACATCCCCCTCTGGGATGTGCCTACCCCAGGGTGGTGGTACAATCGATCTATGGACACGACTGGCCTTGGAGGTGGAACAGGAGATCTCCAGATCACCAGTCCACCGAAGTTCACGTCCCCCTCCAGGATGTACCTACCCCAGGGTGGTTTTACACTCTCAGTGCATGTTTGGGTTCACCCAGAGATGAAGTATTTGGTTGATGTATTTCCCATGTCGGACACCCAGTGCCCATACTGGGTGGGAGTGAAACAGCAGAAAGGACTCTCTAAGGAAAAGAGGGGTCAGCACCACCTCCAGCCCGAGAGTATCAGCCACCTCCTCCACCCAGCCCTTCTAGGGCTTCTAGGAGCATTCAGGGCAGTGCAGCCAGAGAAAAAAGGAAAATAACCCCCCCTTGAAGTCACAAACTCATTTCACTGCACAATAGCACCTCCAGGGGGAAGACAAAAAGAGACAGAGCCAGAAGTGACAGATGTTACATCTCTTGCTGCACCAATACTGATTTTAGGGGGATAAAGACAGCATAAGAACCCACACTGAGCAGAGCAGGCCATACATCACCTACAGCCTTATTCTTCCTGCTTTGAATACAACATTTAAGGCAGAGAAAAAGATCTCTTAGAAAGATTAACACGCTCTCCCGACCCACCTCTCTTTTTTTGCTTACCATGAGCCTGTTTTACTGGGGGAGGTTGTTACTGTTTTAACATCTCCTGCTGTCAGATTCCCCGGGACATGCGCACACACACACAGGAGGAACATCCCATCTTTCAGTAACATTTACCCAGGGTTGGTTTTATGGATGACGGGGCTTCTACAGGGCAAAAATTCCACATTTGAGGCTTCATTTCCAACTATTCAGTGACCTACTTTATGGAGATGGGGGGGGAGGCGGGGGGGGCTGCTAAGGGATTACTTCAGGTCCATTTATATAAGATACTCAGGACATAAATCTGTGCCTTTCCTGCTGAAAGTACAAAATGTCAAGGGAAAAAATATTGCCACTAAACAAGTACAATGCCGAGTATGCCAAGAGGCTGGCATGTCCCTTGCACTGCCACGTGTCCCCTTCCAACCTGCTGAAGGGACAGAGGAGACCTAGACATCTCCCTCCCTCCTTACAGGGTGACATAGCCCCTCCTGCCTCCCTTGGTGACTCCGTGAGGAACCTCGTGCACCTCAAGAAGAGAGAATTCTCCCCAAAACCAAAAAACAGACACACGGTGCGATATTAATACATGTGTGTGAGGCCTGGCATTTGGAAAATGTGTTTGTGCCTAGGCCTTATGTTCATAATTACCGCAGCAGTAATGAATCTTGATGAATCAGTAATGACCTTCAGAAGCACACAGAAACTATTTCAGCCTCCACTTAGTCGGGTAATGAAGTCATACAAATGGGCAGAATTCCTTTTAAGATGTTAAATAAGGCTGATCCTAAACGCTAGCTTTTCTTTCCCCGTTCTGATTTTCCCCGAGCGTTATGGGATGGCAAATTTAAGAGCTGACATAATTCATCACCGCCCGCAGAAACTGCGACAAGCTGAGAGATACGGCCGCCTAATGGATGTTCCCAATAAATCCCATCAATTTCCCAAACGATTCCCCAGCAAGCACAGATAATATAGTGGTTACTGCCTCCCAGATGGGCAACGCGTGGCTGCACAAACGTCACTGTCCACTTCACCCTAGCAAGCAGGTAACAAAGTTTGCGTGCCACTGCCATCCATCACGCCAAACTCGGCTCTTACCCTATGATAATCCTCTCAGTTCATTACCTGTTGGGAAGATGTGCATTAATAAGCTTGAAGAACATGTTTCCTTTGGCCAAGAGACAGGCCGTTCCTGTGTCTACAGATCTGTTGATTAGTGTTTCTGTCCCTACACTCTTCATGGGATAATTGAGGCTGGAAGAGAGCTCAGGAGGTCTCTATTTCAAGCCACACCTCAAAGCGTGGCCAGTTGTGAGGTCAGACCAGGCTATTCAGGGCTTTATTAGGTCTTCAGAACCTCCTGGGATGGAGATCCCACAACACTGCTGTTTCCCGCTCAGACATCCTCATGGGGAAAAAGTAGCTCCTTATTTCCAAGCTGAACTTCTCATTTCAATTCTTGCCCGTTGCCTCTCACCTTCCCAGTAAACACTGCTGCCAAGTACCATCTTCTTCTTGCCTTCTTGGAAGATGGGCTAAAATTTCATTTTTTCCAGTCTTTGTTGGATGTCCTTATGTCACCATGAGTATTCGAAGATAATAAAGTGGCCTTGAAGTGACACCAGTCAGTTCCCTTAGATACCTCCTGTCCAGTCCCATGTCCGTTTTGTTTAAGTGGCCCCTAACTCAATGCCATGACTTCATTTCCAGGCTCCCATCAGAACCACGGGTCAATCCTGTCTCATCTCCCTGTTGTACATAATATACTTCATGAAACCCTTTAAGCAGACAAACCTTCCAGTCTCATGTCAGCAGCGACCTGGTGGCTCAAGCAGGATCCATCTTACCAGTATCATACCAAATATGGAGGGCAGGCTCATGTATTAAAATCTAACAAATAATTTATGACAAAAATTCTAAGAGAGATTGTTTAGATGTGACATGTACTTGCAAAGTATTACTGATGGTTTAAAATTTGGAGAACAGAACTGCGGGTATACTCTGAGGCAAAAGCGTGCGTTTAATCTTTGCAAAAAAAGCAGAAAGCAGATACTTTGAATGCGCTTGGTAAAAAGGGGTCAGATGATGTCTATTAAATATTTTCCTTCCATGCTATAAGAAATGTTTTCGAGTGTGTTCTTTGTTGTCTTACTTCTAAATGGCATGCACTGCGTGCCTTACCCCAGTGAATAACAAGCACCACCTGAGGAAAAGCACAGCAACACTACATATAAAAAGACAGGATGGATAGTAGGTATAATACTGACACTGTTTGCCTCTGAATTTTAACATAAAATAGCGTTCTGAAAGCAGAAATGCTTTATTTTTATCCTTCTCTGTAGAAATCAACCAGCAACAACTCTTTTTTTTTGGGGCGGGAGTTTGGAACTAATTTTTGGCAGGAAAAGAATTCTGCATTCAGAATGTTTTCTAGTTCATTTTATTAACCTGGACTACCTCAGATATTAAATTCAACTATTAGGGGGGAAAGTCTATCAAATCTGTTGGTTACAAACCAGCTATTAGCAATGAGATAAAGAAAAGCAGGTAATTACTATTGCACTACATATTCCTACTCCGGAGTACAAGATATTTATTATCAGTCAAACTAATAACCGAGGCTCTGGCTCATCAGAGAGAGACGTTTCAAGCACTGATCTGGAAAAACACATAATAGATACCTTAAACTTTCTGTCGATTGGGAAGAGCATGAATCACCAACATGCAATGCGTAATCTTTAAGAAAAGAGAGCTCTTCCCTCCACACTTGGCACTTGCTGTTCGATTGGAGTCGCTGGATGGATTCAGCTTGCTTCCCATAACACCCTCCTGTTTCTCCTTCTAATTTCCTACTCACTATTTTTTCATGACTCTGGAAGTCCTAAATAAAGGCCAATTCCAAAAAGGAATAACTTTTCTGAGAGTAAAAGAGGACACGCCTGGGGTAAATCAGACACTTGTGTGTTCTTGGGAGAGAGCACTTCATGCTACATATTCAGGTTTCTGTCCTTTAACCAAAGCAACTCAACCCCTGATCTAGGGTCTGCTTGGATGTCCTCGTGGTGAGAACTGCTTTATATATTCCCTGAGTAAAGGAAAGCCATAGCTTGGCGATATGGAAGTAAAACTGATATCAAAGAAGGCCTTCCTTACCTGTACTACTGGAGATGTTGACATCGATGCTGATGTCCGATATTCCACCTCCCTTCAGAGACGCCACACACGTGTATGTCCCAAAGTCAGTGAATTTCAAGTCAATAATGTCCAGGTTTGTGGTGCCAGGTGAAACGTCGGGGTCAGTCTGTGTGATGACCATCCTTTCAGAGCTTCTCAAGGGACGTCCGTTTTTAAACCAGCTGAAGGTCAGCTCTTCTGAGGGGATGGCTTCCACCTGGCAGGAGATTTTCACCTCTCGCCCAATCTGGATGTTGTCGTCTTTGTGATATGGGTCCGGGGTGATCCAAAATCGTCCTTTTTTTAAGGCTGAAATATGAAAAAAAAAAAGTTTACTATAATAAATTACAAATTTTACATATTTGGGCTTTGCAAAGACTTAGGTAAATCCTTCACGTTATGCTTATATATGTTTTTAATAGGGCCTGTAGCGATAGAGCAAGAGGCTTTAGACTAAAAGAGGGGAGATTCAGACTAGATATAAGGAAGAAATGTTTTACGATGTGGGTGGTGAGACACTGGCTCAGGTTTTCCAGAGAGGTGGGAGAAGCCCCATCCCTGGAAACTTTCCAGGTCAGGTTGGACATGGCTCTGAGCAACCTGATCTGGTTGAAGATGTCCCTGTCCATGGCAGGGGGGTTGGACTAGATGGCCTTTAAAGGTCCCTTCCAACCCAAACCATTCTACAATGCTCATGAAATCACTGAAGCTTCCAGTGTTCACATTCACCACCTTGGTTAATTTTTTGTAGATTTCAATCTTAATCACATATCACCACAGAGTATACGTTGCTAAAGTACTTATGAAAAATAGGAAGTCACAGCACCTAAATTAGACTGAGCTGCTGACAATTGAAGAGTAACCAAAATAATTCATGAACCTTCAGTGTTTGTTACCTGTTTCTGGATGTATTTACAAGCCCTTCCTCATCCCTGTGCTATCAGAGCACTGAGAGAAGAGAAAAATAGAGATATCAACCTAAACATTGCTAATGCAACCAGCGGTGTCATCTCCAATCTATCTGGAAACAAACACGGCCATGCAAAATAGCTTTGTACCAGCTGGTTAAATGAGAAAAGGTAAGCACATGCCTGAGGCTATGGCCTGCCCTGGTTTAGACACCCTGCTCCTTCCCCGTGGCAGCCTGGAGGGCTCCCTCCATCCCCGCGGCTGCCTGGAGGCACGGGTCAGGAAGAGAAACTGCTGCCAGCAATAAAAAGTAAGGGGCCGAGAGCACATCTTTAAGTGTTAGTGATGGTCAATGGCAAAAGGATGCCCTTCTGCAACGTAACCACACAGGAGAGCCCATCACGAGCATCTTGGTGGCAACTTCCATGGTTTCTGTCTTGTCAGATGAGGAAAACCCATCCCGTAGGATGCAATCTCAGGCTGCACACACCACCCAGAGGGGAACGCTATCGCATGGAAAGGCACAACGGATCCCAAGGGTGTCTATCTGAGTCCAAGACTATTCAAAGCCTGCAGAACAAATTCAGTTAATTCTCTGACCCCCAGAAATAGGGCAGTCTCAGCATTTCCGATGGGAACCCCAAGGTGGACAAGGTTTTTGAAGCCATTTCAAAGGCAAGGTCAGCGCTCACGAGTGTCCTACACCCAGGCGAGGGCACAGCCACTCTACAAAACCCTATTTCCCACCTTCCTCCTGGTGAGACCAGCACCTTTTACCAGCATTCATTCCCTCATCAATGTACTGCACTGCAACAAAATAGTACTGCAACTCACTTCTCTGATTTTTTCCCCATCCCTCTTTAAATGAGCATAAAACTATCCAGAAACTATCATCATTTACATCAATAAAGTGATTGCTCTAAAGCAGTGTCGGTATGATACTTATTTTAGGAAGAGTGCTTCAGAATCAGCCATTAAGTCTTTCAAATACACGTATATTTTGACATACTGAACATAAAATGCTATTTATACAACCCCAAGACCCCTCTTCCCTACATAAGTTTGCATAAATCTGTACGTGTGGTTATATATGCTGTCTCCAACTGGGAAGTCCCACAATGAAAATGCCAGTTAGAAACGTTACAGGGAAACACTCAGGTTGAATTCAAGCACTGGAAGACCAAATCTTTATATCCATCATGATGACTTCTATTGAAAAGTATTGAAAAGCACATACAGTGCCCCATATGTGGAGCATTTGAGTAAAAGACCCATTTGCAGCACTCTCTGAGCTTCTACATTTCCACGCTTGCAGCCAATGAAGTGTGACACTGCTATAAATGGCAAAAGCTCTGAGCTGAAAATGTCTCTGGATCCTGAACTTAGGGAAATATCTACTTTTCACTTGCTGCACAGTGTAACAACATCAAGTGAAAATAGATGTACGAGGCACCAAGCACACCCAGAAAGCACGGTACGTCGGCTCCTTGCATCTCGACGAGGAGTGAAAATGCTGATTCAGCCTCGATTTTGTCAGCTCAGTAGCTCCTTGAACAAAACAACTCTTTGGAGCTTGCAAATGCCACGCTGAATTCGCACTTTCATGACTCCAAAAAAGAATTAACATTTAATTAATAATTAGGGATGTTTTTTTTCCAATGTGGGAAAAGAAGCATAAAACGTGGCTACTTGTGGACACCCCCTCACACACAGTGTGAGAAACTTCTGCCACTGAGGAATCCAGCCCTTTTAATCAGAAGATGAAATAATTATTACATTTGCTGTGCTGGTCAGGTATGGCCCGAAAGGGGTTTGGGTGCTGCTGGCATTTAGTTGTAACAGCCTATTCCAGAATCTAAGTGGTCGATGTGTTTTTAATAACTTACTATTATTTCACTTATTTAAGAAATTTCCAAGACTTTTGTCAAGATTAAATTTGCACCAGAACACACCAGTCTTCACTGGGCATCTCTCGTTCCCTTGCAAAAGCTGCTGCTGGTTGCCCAGGCAGCAGAAGGCACACGGATGAACCACACTTTGTGTGACAGCTGGAAACCGCCTCAGCAAGAAACTTTGAGGCACGAGCTGAACTTTTTTTGTTTGAAAATGGAAGAACAAACAATGCTTACCTACACAAAACCCCGACAATTTATTATGCAAATAACTCTCAGATGGGAGAAAAAGAAAAAATAACTCATGATAGGCAAGATGAGCAGCGCATTTCAACCAGAATTAGTTGCTAATAACCTCAATAAAGTATTTTTATTTCTGAATTTTCCTCCTCTGCTCCGAGTGTTCATCCAGACTCATGCTCATTTCAGCAGTTTCTCATTCCTAGGAAGGAACAACGAGGTCTAATAGAAAAGTCACATTAACTTTCATCTGTCCTTTACCATGGCTAGTGCTACAACACAGCCTGGAAGCCAAGATAAGGGGTACAGAGCCTCAAACCTTGGGCATTAAACCACTTACTTCATGAGCCAGGAAGGGCTTTCACTCCCTGGCTCATGGACTGAATAGAAAAAACAACTAATATTTGGGGCTGTTGCTTGTTGGTTCAGTTTTATGGCAGCTGAGTGTTGGGTACAAGAAATAACTGGGCTGGATCATCCACTGTCCTCATCTGCTGGAGTAAACTCCAAAGACCTGTGTAGAGCAGACACCTGAGCTAAGTATTTTCCCATACATCCAAATACGAGGAGTTGAGGAGGGCTGAGACTGTGCACTACGTGGAAAAAGGTAAGGGACATTCTAGAAATTCTGAAGTGAAGGAAAAAGTCTCTTTGGTCTATTCCCTTACCTCCTTCCTTCCCTCAAACCAAACCAAAACTCTTAACATCTCTCAAGACACGTGAACATACATGCCATATTCATCAGTAACAGCCATGAAACCCCCACATCAAACAATCCAACAACCGTGTAACTACAGCCAATGGTTGGAAGTCAATGTACTGTTTTTATAACCTCATTCTCCAAGACTCCACAAACTGCACAGCTATCAGCATTTACTTTTTTTTTTTTTCGCTGTTACCAACAAAATCAGCAGAAAATTTGACTTTAAAATACAGTGTCGTTTCAGAGTTAAGTCAGATCATTAACCAGCCCATATCTGTAAATGCCTAATCTCTCACTTGGCACCAGAATAAACACAGTGATCTCAGCAATTAAGCTGGGTATCTCAGAAGTTCAAATGTGCCACCAAAGCAAATGAAATTCACTGTCCATACCTGGAAGATGTCCCCAGGAAACCAACCAGAAGTGCCCAAAGACACCTGATAGCTGCACGTGGAGCTGGAGAGCAGTGGGAGCAGGATGGGGCTGTAATGGGCAGACATGCTTCTCTCTGACCTGGGACTATCACCAGAACCATCCCAGATGGGACAGTGCTGAGTTGCTCAATATTTGGCCCTGAAGCAGCCCTAAAACTAGAGTTTCTCTCATTGGAATTCCTGGTGGGTTTGCTCCACCATTCATTTTCAAGAATGGAAAGCACCACAAGATGCAGTTCTGCCACCAGCCCTAAGTAGTAATAAAGCTCCCTTCCCCAAATCCTGGAAATGGCAGTTGCAGCCATGGTGCTACGGCATCTTAGGAGCTAGAGCTCCTTGTAGGAAGGGAAAATTGAACCTGGATCTCCCACTCCAGACTGGTGAGACTCCAAATCACTTCACGTACTGGAAACTTCCTGACCTATCAGATCAAAAACTCTTCTAAGCAGATGAACCGCTCTCAGTTACACAGCGATGGAGAAGAGGACCATGTTGGTCAGAGTTTAGGGCACTCTTGGCCGGCAGAGACAGGAGGGCTGGGATGACTCTGCTCAGATCTTTGAAAGAAAAGTTATGACAGTGATGAAGGGCCCCATTAAGCTCATCTGAGATCCAGAACTAACAGGATTGCCCTTGACATGGGGTTAGTAGACCTCTCCAGAGCGACTGTGCCTTCAGCAGTCGGGAACACAAAGCTGTTTCTTGCAGGCCAGAAGGTGTAGAGTCTTAAATATACATATGGTCTCCAAAAAGACTTCAGACTTGACTGATTTACACTGTGTGTCATACACTGACCTCTTGGGAACATCCGAGTTGAGCCTGGTACAAAACTACCACATACTGGAAAAGTGATTTCTGTAGGCATTCTGCAAAGGGGTTTGCATTCATGGGCAATCCCCATAAAACAGTGGTTTGGATCATCCTCATATCCAGGTTCTTGGACCATAATTTGCAGGCAACCCCCTATAAAATGTCAAGTATATAGAAACATGCAATGGGTTCTGAGTCTGGCTTTTCACTGTATTATCAGTCGTGTTTGAGGCATCATTGGAAGGGTTCCATGGGGTTAGATCCAGCAAATAAAAGAGATGCAAGGTTAACCAGCAAAACGTGGGAGATGGTGCTGCAGAC